CATTTGGGCAAAGTCCCTCTGGTAGCGGCGGGCGAACTCGTCCCCCGCCTGGCGCAGCGCAAGGTGGACGACCTGGGGTGCGGGGCGCAGCCCCTCGGCTGGGGGCGCGTAGCTAGCAGCAGCCGAGCCAGGGGGCTCGGGGTGCGGAGACACCAGCCCAGTGTGATCAGAGGAAGTCCCAGCAGCAGCAACCGCAGCAGCAGCAGCAGGAGGAGAAAGACCCGGAGGCAGGGGTGCCCTGTCCTCGCCGGCAGCCCAGTCGTATCCCCTCTGCGAGAGTTTATAGTGGATGTACTTCAGCACTATCTCCCGGTTATCGTAGCCTCTTCTCCCCGGGTGAGCCATAATTCCCAAGAGGAAGCAGCAAGAGGAAGGGAGAGAGGAAGAAGAGGAGCAGGATGAACCCAAAAAAGTAAAGCAGCCAATAATAATAAAATTAATAACACCAAAAAATTATAATCCAGTTACTGTATCGGGTACGGTTTCACTCATGGTGGTGTGGGGGAGTTCTCAGGGTCTCGGAGGTACTTTTGTCTTCTCAGTATTTCCTCCTCGGTTTGAGATGCACAGTATAAATAGGGATTAAAATGCAGTAAATACTTTACTTCCAGGTGCACATTTATTACTTATTATAAATTTACTTTAGGACCATTTCCTCCTTGGTGTTGAAACACATCTCAAAAAATATTATACCGATTCAAAATCAGGTGCATTTTCCGCTAGGTGCTGAACTACCACGGACATGTAGGAGTGGACGAACACACACCGTAAAAACTGCAATTCAATACGACTTGCTAAACAGCCTTGGATGAACGTTAATCCAACGCACTTTAAGCTAGAAACCTCAACACTTTTTTTTTTTTTTTTTTTGTTAAGTTACACAAACTAAATTTCCTCTGTAAAGTACTTACTTGGACTATAAATATGTTCCTCTGTCAAGTTTCCTCTAAAAAAAAAAATAGCAACAACAAAACCCAAACATCGCAAGTCTTCAGAAACGTTAAGTTCTGGCCGCTTTGATGCTTTAAGTCACCAAGGGGATGGGAAAGGGACAAAAAAAATATATCTCTATGATTTCAAATGTTTTTTCCCAGACTCCTGTTCAACAGACATCTCCAAAGATGTGTCAAAGCTCAGAAAATCCCGCCTCGCAGCCCGGGAAGGCGAACAACCCCAAAGAGACGGAAAATCCTGGAGACCAGATGAACCACATTTGAATCCAAGCTCTTGCAGAAGTGCTCCGTTTTTCCCTCCAGTGCAACGTACAGACATATGCATTTACGTAGTTTCATTCAGACACCGATCGCAGGAGCCCGGTGCTTCCACACACACGCACGCACACGCCAAAAAAAATTAAAAAATAAAAAAAAAGAAGAAAAAAATAATGTATTTAGGAAATTAATTCTTGTTCACAAGGACGAGTGTAAAAAAAAAAACCACAATAAAAAAGAAAAATAAAAA